CCCCAAAACCCCAAAACCCCAAAACCCCGCTTCGTTGATAAAATATTGAATATAATCTTTCAGTTAAATATGAGAAGAAAGCCCAGAGCCTTCAGGAACAGTCTAGACCGATCAATAAACTTCGAAAGTTTAGTCCCTCCAAAACCCCAACTGTCCACCTACAAAAGCAGTGTGTTTAAAATCCCCCAATCTCAGTTCAAAACCTTAATTTCTTCTTCAGCTAATGACCCTTCTTCTGCAGCGAAAGAAGGTGGCAGGTAAATATAACAGGTTTAGGGTTCTAGAGGGGTTTTATGGGGGCGGAATTGGCTGAAGAGGTGAAGGGTGATTAGAGTAATTTTTAGTGGGGTTTTAGGATTTGGGAGCGGGCTAGAGGGGATTTGGGGGCTGGAATTGGCTCTTGAGGGAGGTTTGGGTTGGTTGGTGGTCATGGAACTGGGTAATGGTGTATTGGATAGTGGGTGAGAATGTCAGTGATTTGACTGTGGTTTGGGCATTGTCTGGGGAATTTAGTAATGGAAATATTAGAGATTTTACCGATCTTTTTGTGATTAGTGGTGTAATAGAAATTATTGTATTTGAGAAAGAAAGAGTTTTAAGAGTTTAACAATTGAAGTTAATTTTAGGACCTGAACCCAAAAGGAAATGAGAGAGTCTAGTGACAGTTATCTTAAAACTGTAAATATGCTCAGCGATTCCACAATGGATCGAGAGAGCATGTTTTATCTTGCAAAAGAAAGTACTACCTTCACTACCAGTGTCAGAGAAGAAACTGAGAGAGGTAAAAGAATCTCAAAGAGCAAAAGTAAAGCTCAGTTATACACCCCAGGACTCAAGATGCCTTTTAGCTCAATTAAGCCAATTACGCCTGTTTTGAAGGAGAAAAGTAATATAAGAGCTTCCTCAAAAATTTCAGTGAAAGGTAAGGCTTCATTGGTTCCTTAATTTAATAACTACTCGAAATTATTGTGTTTAATTTTCCGAGCTCAGAACCACTCTTCATATTTTGGGAGAAAACCCAGCAAAATTTCAAAATTAAAAATTAAATCTTGTTTTAGGTTCCAGAAATAAATCAAGAGGGAGTTACGAAAGTTTAAAATGATCGTTAAAGCCTATAGACAAGGCGAAGACACTAAAAATCCCAGGAAAAGAAACGGTAAAAAAGGAAATAAATGAGCAAAAGGTGTATAAACCTGTGATGCTCCATCATCAAACTAATTTCCGCAAGAGAAGTCAGGGGTTGCTTACTGGAGTAAGACCTTCGCCAATGAAAACTCAAGTGAAAGAGGTAAAAGTACTCCCAACTGAGACCAAAGTTGCGAACACTGATGTGAAACATGAGCAGAAACCAGAAGGAGTAACTAAATTATAAAGGTGAACCAGACACCTGATCAAATTTGACATACTCCTAAAAACAAACCTAAGCGAAAGAGAAGTTTGAGAAATAGCATTACTGGAATAGCTACGCAGTTTAAACCTTCCTTTAAGACATTGTTTACACCAGTTCGGAAGGCTTCCAAGAATAGGTACTCAAGCGGAGATACCACACCTCAACAGAACTCTATAAATAAAGTACCATCATTTGATATTAACAAGAGTCAAACAAAGGACGAGAAGAAGCCGGCTCCTACAATACGAAAAAATCTCTGTGCTTCTGAGAAGATTTCGAAGGTTCAGAAGAAGACCGGATTCCAGGACTTCAGTGATAAAAGTTTATGTATCAAGAAGGAATCTACTCCTAAACCAATGGCTTATATTGACAAGATAAAATGACAATATTTAAAGGACCAGCTAGATACTCATCATGAAAACCCTCAACGAATTGCTAGGATTGAGCTTATCAAAAAGAAAAATGCCAGGAGTAAGGAAAACCTAAAATCTTCCAAAACTATACATCCTGAAATAAAGATGGATCTTGATGCGAAATTCAGGAAGGCAAGCACCAAGAAGCCACAAGAAGGGGAGGCCTCGACTTGTCAGAAAGTCTTGGAGAAGATAAATGAGAATATGGTGGCAAAAGAGCTCACCTATCCTCTTAGCTGTATCAAGGACACTATAAAACAGGATTCTAATATTAGTAATAAACTTAATGAGGAAGTTATTAAATTAGAGGGTTTCTATCAACCAAATGAAGAGCTGATGCACTCTTTAAGCCAAGTATCAACACCTCAAGAATGAACTGAGATTATAGAGCCATATGACCTAGCACTTGAGAAGAAGGATACTCTTGATGAAATAAAAATATTCATGAGCAAGATAGAGGAATTCGATGATTCCCAAAGTGATGATAATAAACTACTTTTTGACAAAAAAGATTCTTACTCACCAGCATTTCTTGAGATCCTAAATGGAGATGTAATAGAGGACTCCCCAACTCATAAAAGACACCAGAGCAAGCCTGAGAGGTGAAGAGAATCGGAAGATAGCCAGGATTTGTCATGGAACAAGATCACTAGTCATTTGTTGCAAAACCAGACTTTGAGTGATAGCTCAAATGAGTCTAGCGAGAATATTTTAACTAGTATTGAGGATTTCTTGAAAGCAAATAAAAATAAAGAAGTAAGATCAAGTTGTTAATTACTCTAGAAAAAGAAGCCGAACTATTGAAGAGAGGAGCAGATCTTGAAAGACAAGGCTGTCATTAGGAATACCTCCTTTAAAGATTCTCATGAAATGAAAAATGCTAGTAAAGAAAAAGAAATCCAACTTCTTGAATCAAAATATTCAGAGAGTTCCGATATCTTCAACTTGAGTAAATCAAGTAAAGGAAGAGAGATAGAGTCAATCAGGACCACTACTGAAGAGATGAGTGAGATTTTTAAGAGCGATATTAGCACTCTCAAGGATTTTTCTAATCTATGAAGCTCCAAGACAACTTCTCTCAGCACAAGTAGCCACTTAAAACCTCGAAAACTCAGTGGAGTAAGTATTTTCTCCTTCTAACTACTAGATTATCAACAAAACAGAAGGTAATATTTCTTCAAATTCAGTCGGTTTGAACTGAAATCCCCATGCTGAGCCTAAAAGTGAGGTAGATTTTCTAGTGTGCCTGAAGGCTGACAGAAAGCTTTCGAACCTGCGGTCTGCAGATAGTGTCTATGTCCTTAATGAGAGGCATGAAAGTAAATCTAATCTATAAACCATCTTATTTATAATCCAATTAGTCATAAATCATAAGGGGTTTTGGGGTTTTGGGGTTTTGGGGTTTTGGGG